TGAATGTGGGAGGAAGAAGGAAAAGTTAGAAGAAGCAGAGGAAAAGTAGAAGTATGGGGAAAGCTTCCCTTCCATTAACAAAGTTCAAGTCTACTCATTTTTCATTGCGTAAAACTAATTGGTTGTTTTTCTTTTATATCATGCTATCCTCTCTACTGTTTTCTTCTAAATTTTAAGAATTCAAGATTTATCTTATTTGACTTTAGAGGCCCTTCATACTCTGAATCAATTTTATTTAAATATAGAAAAAGATGTCTCTGTGGAAACAAAACCACATCTACGTAATTTTCTAGTGTAACTCTTTTTGGAAAATGGAGTTTTGAAGACTTGAGGCATAGTATTAAATTCTGAAGAAAACAAGAAAGAATAGAATATATAATACTGCTGGGCTTAGCATAAATTTAAGAATAAGGAGTTGGGAAAAGTGAGGTGTGTTTTTATATGATAAATAAAAAATAAAATACCAACCGGTAAACGAGTTGCCTAGGATAAGAATAATCATTAAAAGATGGCAGTACTGTAGGCAATACGTAAAATGATCATTTTAAAATGATCATTTGGCCACGATAAGTGTCACTTCGCATTATGAAGTTTTCTATGCTATGCCTTTCCTCCACTGGATTTCAGAGATATGATTCCTGAGGTCTGTAATGCTATTTTGCTTCTTACTACGAGTTGGAGTTTGAATACTAGTTAAAAGATCCTTTGTTGAACAAAGGAAAGCACCTGGTTTGGCAGAGAGCTATTTCCCATCCCTAGCAGATTCTGTGCTCAGTTACAAGTTTGCAGGTAAAGATTACCCATTTCGATTCTCAAGGTCATTCCCAAGTGAGAAGAGAGACCAAATGGACACTGTAAGAACAGATACAAATCACACTGTGCATTTTCCATGATTCTCCAACAGAGTCAAATGAATGAAATGTGCTTCAAATATTACAAATATCAACAGCAGTTTAATCTTAATAAGGACAGGGGGCCAAGGAGAAGAGCAGAGAGGGTAGTAGATTCAGTACCAAGGGGTGTATGGAAGGGGGCAGCAGGTGCTCCTTTGCAATCAGCCAAGCCTTGGGCTGTCCTTGCATGAGAATCACAGGGCAGCCTGGCCTACCTTAGTATACTGCTGGTTCCGCTCCCTTGTACTTTCACCATCTCCCTCAGCTTTGGCTACCATCCTAATTTCCTGTAATGTGTGAAAGATCTGTCTTTCCACCCAAGAGTAGAAAGATGAGATATTCCCACCAATGAGCGCTGTACTCTCACTGCCTCTTCCCACCGTAATCATTGCGGTACTGGTCAGTCATCTCAAATGTTCACTTATACTTTCTTGATTGTGAAGGAAGTTTGGATTACAAAACAAACATGACAAAGGTAAATAACAGATATAACTGTATTTGATGCAGATTAGCATGGCTATATGACATTAAACCACCCCTTTTGTATCTGTTATCTCTTTCCCCTTATGGATCCTTCTAGATGGGAATTTGCTGCCTTTCAGCAAGCTGTTTTATATCCTTACTTTCTCCCCTTTTGTTACAACACGAGCGAGATATTTCATTTTACCCATTTTTCCCCCCTCTGAGTAATGAGTTCAGTTTCTGCTTTATTCAAATTATAATCTCTGTTTATATTCAAAAAGGATTTACAGTGATTATTTTTCTAGTTGAATTCCAGGCACCTCATCAAAAATTGCTTTCTCAGGGAAACTTGCTTTATCAGTTGGCCCAGAATCCCTTTGACTGAATCCCTCAGAATCTATTTTCTCCTTTCTTCTTTTAGGCATGACCTTTCTAAGGGCATGATTACCCCCCTCCCTATCACCACCATCACCTGCCATCTGAGTTTACCAATCTCTCTTCTTAAAGTCTTACTGAACTTTGGGTTCGGTTTAGCCCTTAATTTTTTCTAATAATCACAAGTATGCTGACCTGGCCCACTGGATGACATAGTGAGCCTAAAATACAAAAAGTAGTTAATAAATAGTAATTTTTTAAAATCTCTTAGAAAGAGGCAGGAAAAACTATATGATGGATTCATTTAGCTATTTTAATTTATTTTAAAAGGTTTACTTTAATTATTGATACATGGACTTAATGCTTATCTTCTCTGGCTATAACAAATAGTTGAGTTTTATTTACTTTCCTTTTTGAGAGACACTTTCTAGATCCTAACTGTTAAACATTAAAATCATATCTCCTTTTTGAAAAGCTGTTTTTAAGTATGCATGTACATATGGGGGGTATGTGTGTTATAGATTTCTTCAGAGCTCATGCATAGTCAGTGCAAAAGGAAAGAAGATATTTATAAATTATCGCCGGGCACTCATGAACTGTGGTGAACATGGTAATTGGCTCATGTGTGCAGGGTTGGATAAAAAGTTGATCTTCCATTGACCTATCCTTATGGTAAGAAGGACCTCAAGCCTTTTATGCTCACCTTGTAATTTCCTTTAGTTTTGACTGTTTCCTCACTAACATAATCTTCAGATTATGATTTAGCTTCCCCGATGGACTATGGAAAGAGACCCTGTTTCATATGGATGCAGCATTCCAGTTCTTGGGTTTTTTGTTTTTGTTTCTTGTTTTTTTTACTGTAAATTAATACTGTCGTTCTGATGCCAGAGCCGTGTGGGAATTTTATTTACAGTGAATTAGCTCAACTGCTGATCAAACACTGACAAGAATGAGTCACTGAGCCTTCAAAGCAGAGGACTAGAGCCTGGAACAGGGTCACAGAATGAAGTGCTAGTCAATACAATCTGCTGTCACTCTCAGCAGCCTTTCCTGGGCCAATTCTTCTGCAGCTTCCATCTCCATATTGACATATAAATGTGTTCCCACAAAAAACAATGTTAATTAGAATGATCGTTTCCTAGATCACCCTTCAAGATACAGTGTATCCCCAAGTACTATCAGACTCCCTAAGTCTGGATTCCAATATCTGTGCCCTGTTTCTAAGGACTAAACTCTCAGTGTGCTGAGCACCCTGGAGCCCTGAAGCAAGCAGGGAGTAGCTGTAGCTCCAGAGGTGCAGCTGGGCAACTTCTGCAGTACTATGATCAGAAGATCTCCTTCTTGAAATTAATAGAATGTTATACGTCACTTATATCTCAATTAAAAATGCATATATCAAATCGATATGTTGTCCACCTGAAACTAATATAATGTTATATGTCACTTATATTTCAATAAATAAAGACCTCCTCCTTGACCCCCTCTCCGGGAATGAACTCTTAGAAGAACTCTATATCAATAAGGTAGAGAAAACATATTCATTTAACTAATATTTATTAAGAACTTGCTTTGTGCTAGTGAGATACAAAATAGAACAGCTCCAGCTTCATCAAGGTTAGATTCTCAGGTCAGCAGGGCATGTGGGGAGCCAAAGAATAAACACATGAACAAATTAGGAAGTTTCATGTGTTAGTAAGTACTGTGAAGACAGTCAAATGGGAAGGTATTATACAGATGGGGGAAAAGAATACCACTAAGGGGAAGATGGCCAGAAAATAACTTCTGGAATGGAGACAATGAAGTCTCAACCTGAATAATGATGATCTAGGGGCTACACATGTGATAGAAATTCAGATGGCCAGTGTGGCCAGAGGATGGGGAGCCTGGTGGAAGATGGCGTGAAATATAGCCAGAGACTAAAGGATGTAAGCCGGTGGAGACAAGAGTGAGGAGTTTGGATTTATTTTAGTTTCAGGTTTATTAGAAGGTTTAAGCAAAGTAGCAAGAGCCCAGTCTCCATTTTAAAAGCTGTAACTCTGGCTGGTATATTGGTATGAATTCTAACGAGGTAAATGTAGAAACGAAAGTTCAAGTAAGAAGCAATATCCATGGCTCTGGGAAGCGATGATGATGGCTTAGATTATTGTAAAATGGAGGTTGAGGAAAGAGACCCGGATGGAATATAGTTTGGTTTGGTCAGAGGCAGCAAGATGAGCTGGGAAATGAGATGCAGGGACGAAAGATGGGTGGCTCTTTCTGTGTTGGTATATGAGCAACTGGGTGGTTTGTGGTTCCATTGAATTAGAGGTGGTAGACGATGACAGGAACAGATTTGAGGGGGCTGGAGGAAGCTAGGGAAATAAGAGTTCCTTTTTGGCTAATTTAAGTCTTAATTGGTTCTTAAACATCTAGCGGTAGGAATAATCAGAGCAGAACCCACTGATTTTCAAGATAGACATCGGGGTGTTGATGTAAATTAGTGTATCGGCAGCATGTAGATAGTTCTAAGCTATGGGACTGGATAAAATCACATAGGAAGAGGGTTTATACGGAGAAGATAAGAGGCTGAGACCTAAATTACTCCAAAATTTAGAAATCAGATAAGGGAAAGGAGCCAGAAAAGAAGATGGAGCAGAAACAACCAATGAGGTAGAAGGCCACTAAGGAAATTTGCTAACGTTGAAACCAATAGAAAGTATTTTAAGGAGAGAGAAAACCAATCAAATACAAATAAGAGATTGAGTAAGATCATCATGGCGAAATGGCCATTGGATTTCACAAGTGAAGGTTAATGGGACCTTGGAAAGTTCACTTTTTTAAGATATTATATCTGATGACAGGAATGTGATATACCACTTTTTCTATTTAAATTTCATAACCAGTCCAATGTTGAAAAAAATTAAGTGGACAAGAGTGTTATCTAGACTATAAAATTCAGCATGGAAATGTTGACTATAAGTAAATGTAAAGAACAATGCCATGTGATATAAAGGACAAATTAAACAGTTCTCATTACATCATCTGGCTTAAAATATTTTCCAATCAAAGCAATTTGTAAATGTTAGAGTCAATTTCTGCAAAGTTGAAAGGTAATTTTTATACTCAGATATTCATAATGTCTAGTTGATAGAAGTCTTAAGCCATGTATATTTTAGCCATGAAGTAGAGATACATTGGTCCAAAAAATCATTTGAGTTAAAGCTGAAAACTATTTGTAGCAGATAGAAATAACTTTCTATGACTTAATATATTTTTTTCTCTAACCCAAGGTATGGTGACATGGTACCAAAAACCATAGCAGGGAAGATTTTCGGATCCATCTGTTCACTGAGCGGGGTCTTGGTCATTGCTCTGCCTGTCCCAGTGATTGTATCCAATTTCAGTCGAATCTACCACCAAAATCAACGAGCAGACAAACGGAGAGCACAAAAGGTGTGTATTCAGTTCTGTGCAACCACAATTTAGTGTCTCCCATTTTGTATAGTAAGCTTTAAAATCCCCTACTGGCTATTCAGTGTTCTGGATTTGGTCGATAGTTGCATCAGTCAGCACAAGCTAAATTATACTATAGTTAAAAAAGAACCTTAATATCTTAGTAGCTTAAAGCAACAAGGAGTATTTCTTAATCATGCTACAGATTGGTCTGGTGATAGAAACTCCATCTTGACAATGTGCATCTGCAATCATTCAAGCAGGGGTAAAAGGACATGATGAATCACACACTGACTCCTAAAACCTCCTCCTGGAAGTGGGCCAAATCACTTCCATCTCTGTTGCCTTAACCAAAGTAAGTCACATAGCCGTGTGTATCTTCAAAACAGGCAGGGAAAGACAATCCTCCTGTGCAACCAGAGACAAAAGGAAAGAAATATTTGGTGAACAGCACTAATGATAGTAGTAAAATCAAAGATAGATTCTTGGCAAATTTTATTAGAATCAGATTTCTTGATCTGATTCATTTAGTCTCTGTCCATCAGGGATCAAGCTGGTTCCAGTAGACAGGGGCTATTAAAGGGCACCAAAATAGGTCTCAGATATCCAACATAGTTGACACAGGAAGTAGGAGAAATTTGATCATTAGTAGCTGAGTTTTATTTTTGGCCCAGCAGTTTACTGTTTCTCTGAACTTCACATCAATGAACTGATCTCAAAGTAAACAGGTTGCATACTCATTTGTGAAAGCAGGAAAACAATACCTACATCACAATAAGATTAAGATTATATGTAAATGTATATAAATATATATAAGCATATCATAATATTAACAAGATTTAACATTTACTGGTGGCTTCCTATGTGCCAGGTATTGGTTTGATGTTTTTTTTTAAAAAAAAATAATTTATATAGTCTTCTCAACAAGCCTAGAAGTTAGTTACCATTATTATTCCTATTCCGTAGATGTGAATTCTAAACTACCCAGGATTTGAGAAATTCTAAGGTTGCATACCTAAAAAATTGGAGAACTCTCACTCAATCCAAGGGATCTGGCTTCCAGGTTCATACACTTGAACACTAAGATAGATGCCTCTCAGAAAAACTGACTACAAGAGGGAGGGGATATGGGGATATATGTCCATGTATAGCTGACTCACTTTGTTATACAGCAGAAACTAACACACCATTGTAAAGCAATTATACTCCAATAAAGATGTTACAAAAAAGAAAAACTGACTAAATGTTAGCACACTTCCCCTCCCCATTCTTTGTCAAAATAATCACCTTGAGAGTCAGGGCCCTTGTTACTTAAAAATAATTATGGAAATCTCTTTTACAGTTTCCTTAAGGCTATGGTGGCTAGATTTCCAGGATTCTTCATTGATACTGTATCATGTCCTTTAAGAATAGATTCATTTTTTTAATATCAAAAAAAGCATTCATAACAATGATTAAAGTGGATGTACAGTATGGGTATAACCCTAAAATATCATGAGAGATTTTGGTGCAGTTCATAACTGGCTTTGTAGGTAGTTCTAGAACAGGATTTTAAACATGCTTTTGAACAATGTTGATCTCTTTAGTAAAGCAAAAAGTATACTTTATACTTCATACAGTATAAAATATAAAACCTCATAAAGTAACTCTTTGGAAAGTTGAGGTTAATCAACGTGGTCACACAGCATGTTGTCCAGAGAAGTTGTTGACATCCATTGTCAGAGGTCTGCTTCCTTTAGCAAAGTATCACTCTTTTAGCCTTGTAATTTCTTGCTTTATGGAATCCCCCATTTTTGGACAAGTATCAAGACTTTAATTATTGTAGAGAATAGTAATAAATAAAACTGATAATCCAATAAACAAGGCACCCTCTGGGCAGTTGTAGTCTCAGGCAGGGCACACTTTCACAAGCAGAGATGGAGGAATTTTGGCCACAGTTGGCCTCCATCAGGGCTTGTCATATACCACAGCTGTGGCTCTGCCCACACACTACAGTCTCTCTACTGGGTACACACAAGTGCATCGTTTAAAAATAACAGAAATCCTACAAAAAGCATAGCTCTCCAGCATCCATCCGTCTCCAGTCTAGAAACGTCTTCTTTAATATGAGCCACCTATCATTCATTTTCTCAATGCCAAAAAAAAGGAGCTACCTGCATGAAAACTCTTTGAAGTACAAATCTGATTTTCAAATAAACCAGTCTTCAAAATATCTGTTCTTTTTTTAAATTTTGTCATCTGCAACAAGCAAATAATATAGAAAATCTTAGAATGTTTTAGAAGCTTTTTGGTCTAAATAAATTTAGAATGTAAAAATAAATAAATGATATTTTAAAAGTACACTAAATTGAAAAGCATGATTCATGAATTTTTTATCTTTAAAGTATCTCCTGTATTCTAAGTTTCTGCCATAATGCAATGAATTTTAATATTGTGACTACTAGTATATAGAAAGCCAAATATAATAACCTAATGTGGTATGTCCAGTAAATAGTCTGTGACCAAAAACTGAACATAGTCATCTAAGAAAGAAAGGTGGATATGGAAATAAATAAGTTACTTACCAAGGGATATTTTCTATTTTCCTTCCCAAGAAATTTTTTAAAAAACAATAAACATTCATTAGGCTAAGATAGTTTCAATTTATCTGGAACTGGGTGATTTCACAAATCTCAGAGTTATGCAAAAATAACCAGCTAATTCAGTCAAGCAAGATGTCCATTCAGTAGGTGTCAGTCAAGCTGAATAATAAATATTACAAAATGCTTTTTTAGACCAGAATTGTTCATGTTTAGTCCCATTGACAGCACCAAGCTCAAGCAAAACATACACAATTAAAATAAGACAGTCTTGCATATCTTTCAATTAAAACAGCAAGTGTTCAGTATCTGAAGAAAAATCCTCTTCTACACACGCACACACACACACACACACACACACACACACGCCAGAATATAATGGCAGAATATGGAGACATTTAGTCCTTTTTCTTACTCTCTTCAAATTTCTGAATCTTATGTCCCAAGTCCTGCATCCTCAATGTAACTTTCCCTTGACAGATCAACTCATAGTCATTTCTCTCTTCCTCCCAAACCTTACGTCACTTGCTATCTCTGTTCTCTATTTGGTAATTCTGTTTGACTTTATTTTGACTTTTATCTTTTTATGAGTATTATCTTCTTAGCCAAAGCTTAATATATCTTGAGAGCATTACCATGTCTCGCATTTTAGTACCTTATACTTATTTCCATTTTTAATCTCCTATTTCTGGTATTCTGGTTGAAGGCCAGCATTCAGCAGACATTTGGCATGGTGTGCCACAAGACCAAGTAAACCAAGTAACTCATATAGTATTGTAGTAAAATGAAAGCAAAGTCGTGAATGAAACTGAGATGGGAGGTTCTTTTTCTAACACAGTACATGACTTAGCAAAATAGCTATTCTGCTTCTAAAACAACTGTTTCTTTTTCCCTAAACTTAGAACTGCTTCTGTGGTAGTGGTTGCCATAATATGTATGTTTTCCATTATGGAAAATATGTCATTTTCCTTTGTTGGACAGTATTTTTGGGTAATGTACATGTTTCATTTATGAAAGAAAGTAGTATTTCCTAATACTGAGGCTAAATGCTTGGAGAATGACATAGGTGAGACTAGTAACTATGATATAGGCAATATAATTACATGCAGTGGTTGCAAAAAAAAAAAGAAAGAAAGAAAGAGGAGGGGAAGGTTGAGGGAGGAAGGGAACCAAAAAAGGCAAATATATATTTGCTGGAACATTGAATGTTCCAGGAGCTCAGTGAGACTTTAGGACTGAAGTTTCAACAATACCCCTTTCTGGAAACCAAATGTATATTTATATTACTTATTTCTGAATTATTACGTCAATTCTAAGTCATTTCCAAATGTGCTTGTCACTTCCCGTTGTTTTATTGAGTCTGTTCTGAAATCCTGGCTGCACCATACAGCTTGAAGTTAAGCATTTTCTACCTTCCAACTTCATTCTTTAGAACTGTCTCAGTATTTTGAGTCATCTAAACACTATTGTGCCAACCAAGAGTGAAATTTGTCTATTTTTCCCATCACTTATAAATATGATCTATGTACAGTTTTATTTTAACCTAGAATCAGCACACACGAAGAAGAAATTCACAGAGGAAGAGAGAAGGGATGGAGCTGAAGCCAGATGATATCTTAATGCTATTCTGAGAGCTTCCAACATCTCAGTGCTACTGTCAAATGCTGTGGGTGTGCATAAAAGGGCACCTTGGTACAACTGTGGAGGGCAGTTTGGTAAAACCTATCAAACAAAACAAACACACACACCCTTTGATCCAGGAATAATGCTGCTTCTAGAGATTTGTCTTGCAGATTGGCTCATCATGATGTTCCAAGCAGGCAACATTTCTTGTAGTAGCAAAAAATGCCTTAAAAATTAATTGTGGTTGGCCTGCTAGCTAAATGATGCTTCTCATTCCTACAGTGGCATATTACACAACCGTAAATAAATGAGGTGGCTTTATATAGATATGGGAGGAGTCCCAGTTGTACTAAATGAAAACAGCTGAGTGCAGAAGAGTGTGCAGCATATTCTCCCGAGTAAAAATGTATGCGTTTATACATAGGAATATATATTTGCTTTTTTATGTCTAGAATATTTCTGGTAAGATTCTCTAGAAATATTGCCAGTGGTTGACTCTGAAGAACAGGTGTAGGTAAGTCCAGAGAGACTTACTCGTTTTTCATGTACTATTGTAGTCTCAAAATTTTTGTCATATGTATATATTCACTCTCCATTTAAAAAATCTAGATAATTAAAATTGTTTTATTAAAAAGAAGATTCCAGGGCTAGAGACAGAGATAGTCTTCCTCAGGGTTGTTTAGAAAGAGAAAAGACGGAGTCATTACAAGTAAGTTCTTACCCAAACCACTCCAGTTTCTTCCTTACATACATTCGTTCTATGTGTCACATGAACAGAATGGTCACCAAAATACTGCTTCCCAGGAAATGAAAACCAGACTCATACCATGACAGTCTGGGGCAGATACACAACAGCAGTTTTAAAGTAGAACAGAATATCAGAAGTCCAACCAGTAGACAAAGTGGATAAGTTTAGGGTAGTGGTAAATTTTTTTTTTTTTTAGAGAGCTCATGTTGTACAGCACGTACACTGGCCAATTTAACAAAAGAATTGCAAAAACAGAATTTGATATTTGAGGATGCAGATACAACTGAATAGTTTTCTTTAAAGGAAGGACCGAAGGAAGGGAGAGAGAAAGGAAGGAAGGAAAGCGGGAGGGAGGCAGGTAAGAAATAGAGAGGAGAGGGGAGGGGAGGGGTAGGGAAGAGAGGAGGAAAGAAAAAAAAGAAAGGCAGTAGGTTCCTGGAACTTAGTTACTAAATTTAAAAGAACATTAGTTTAAATGAAAAGAAGTTGGCTGTTGGTTTGCTGGGTCTTCATTTCATTAAGTTACTCAGATTGGGATAAGTGAAAATATAAGCCGTACTGCTATTTTTCTCTTGATACAATTGACAGAAACAACACTGAAATAACATGATCTTACTGTAAAGACTTAATTACAATTCTTAAACGTATAACCCAACTCCAAAGTAGTTCATCAATCTCACTGATAAACGTTAACTAAAATAAAGCACTTAAATTGTGAAAGTTTACTTTTCAGTAGTTACATGTGAGAAGCTGGCATGCTTTTAAAAATATGTATGCTGACAGTAGGATTATATAAGAATGCACTCAGTGTTTTAAGAAATCCAGTCACAGATCTTAATAGGACATTGCTGCTTCTTCTCTTACAGAAAGCCAGACTGGCCAGGATCCGGGCAGCCAAAAGCGGAAGTGCAAACGCTTATATGCAGAGCAAACGGAATGGCTTACTCAGTAACCAACTGCAGGTACAAGTCAAGCATTTCGTTTCCTTTAATGTTCAAATTATTGGTGCAATATTGATTTAGCTCTACTTAACCATATAATTTTACTGTGGGTGGTTGCGAAAATGGCTATGAAACAACAAAGGTGTCATCTTTTAATAACCTCACCCTGTACCATCTTTTCTCTTGTCTTTTTAAGAGGAAAAAAATGTGTCTTTACTAGAACTAGCCACGAAAATTGTTTTCTAACAATGGCATCCCAGGTGGAATACAATGACTGTGTATGTTTAGTATACATATTATGGTTTATAATACCATATTTCCACAAAAACAAACCAGGACACCTTGGATAAATAGCCAATTCCATGCCCGTCGCCCTGGACCTTACTGGCTGGAGGCTAGAAGCTGGGCTATGAAATATTGCCAGTGAATCATGATTCCCATTCATGGTTGGGCAATATTTCTGCACTGTCTCACAGAAACTTGGGAAAAGTCAAAAATTCTCAACGACTCAAATACCTAGGTTTTTTTTTTTTTTAATTTCAAAATTATGTACGCTCCTTAAAGTTCATTTGAGTGGTGATGCGGCGGCGGGAGGGTTGACATCTGTCTTGTTTTCCTTCTTACTGAAGAGGGAACACCATTCTGTGTTATAAAGTTCACATGGTATGAAATATAATTTGAGAAACTTTACTTTTACCTCAAAACTCTCTTTTAATTTTTAGGATTCCAATCATCTTTACTTACATAATAGCTTTTGTGTAGGTAAGCATGAAGGTGGTTTCAGGATTATCTAAGTACTAGATTAAATATTATTATCCCAGGCTTTCAAAGGTAGCTGGGAGATGAATGAGTAAAAGAAAATTAAATTTTCAATTCATGGAGGCAAGTCTAAAAGGCCAGACCGCTAATTTGATGAAAACGTAAATGCTGATTATCAAACTCAAAAGCAACTCTACATTTGATCCATTTTAGTTAAAAAATAAAATAAAATGCTGCCATTTAATCTCAGGAAATAGGCCAGATCTCTCTTTGGAAATATGTGGCTGAGGTTCTCATTGTTTGCAAATAAAATAGAAAACCATTCTGTCTTCTCCCTGTTAACAGTCCTCTGAGGATGAGCAAGCCTTTGTTAGCAAATCCGGCTCCAGCTTTGAAACCCAGCACCACCACCTGCTTCACTGCCTGGAAAAAACCACGGTAAGGAAAAGGCAGGACTGGCTGCCCCTGCAACTCAGACAGTAATCCCATTGGTTTTTGTGAATATTTAATGCAGCCAAGCACAATTTCACCATCTGCATTACTGCAAAATATACTAAAAACCAAAAAAATCCACAATAATTGAAATTACTTTAAAAGATTGTAGTGACATTTCAACTTAGAAAGTATTTTAGAGACTTATTAAAATGTTTTTATCCTTAGTGGTAATCTTAACCCTAGGCTAAAATATCAGTTTAATGCAGATGGAAAGTTGTCTTCCAATAGCTGACTGCAAGTCCTATAAAATATCTTCTCCTGATTCTTAAAATGCTGATTAAACAGAAATAAAAATAATGAAGTTTAAGTGTTCCTGACATCTGGATAAAGGTAATAGCAATAGTAATAACAAAATAGAGAATAACTGAATATAAGCATTTCTTTCATTCACAGGTATAATAAACAGAGATTGATAATAAAAACTATCTGTTCTCATAAGAAAATGATGCATTTAATTACTGGCATACCCCTTGGGGCTGAGGATTCAGTCTGCATTTCTCCACTTGTAAGCTCCCAGTTGGACCGCCTCTTTAACAAAGGCATCTGTTTTCTAGCTAGCTTGTCAAAAGGGAACACAGTCTGTGACCACAGAGCAGAATAAAACTTTCACCGTATTTGAATCAAGTCTGCTTGTTCACTCACAAGAGACACATATTTGTATTCTCAATTCAGACATACTGTCCATCCACTTATTCATATACTTATATAGTCTTTCAACCAACATTTATTACTTGCCTATTATGTGCCAGACAGTGAGCCAGACCCAAGATACACCGTGAAGTCAGGTATGGCCTCTGCCCTCCTTGAGGCTGCAGGTTTGGGACAAAACATGGATGTTACTAGAGAAGGACAACTAGCAGAGGAAGCGAAAATGGGGCCCCAGTGGACTGGGGGCAAAGAGGGTGGAGCCAGAGGGTACCAGATCAGGCAAAGCTTCCTGGCGGAACTTGAGTTAAGAACCACAGGACCATTTTGAGTTAGTTAGGCAAAGAAATGAAGGGGCTAAAAGTTGATGTGAGCACCTGAGGAAGACTGGAACTTGGCCTAAGAGGAAGTAAAAGAACTTGAGGGTGGTCAGAGGAAAGAGGGTGCCATGGCACAAGTCAAGGAGCAGAGGAAGGCAGTGGCCAGATAACCTTGTGTTTTGGAGGCACTTAAAGAATTTTGATCTTTATCTCGTAATAAATGGAAAATTATTTGAGGGCTTTAAACAGATTATATTAGTATCTTAAATAAAGATCTATACTTTATTAGGATAACTCTTTGGAAGTTAAATGATAACAATAATCAAATGTATGTATCCCTATCTTTTTCTTTCTATTTTCATTTTTTGACTATGTTACCTTTTAGGGCTTTTCTAGTCAAAAATTATTTAATACTAATTAATATAGTTTAAATTGAGCTACTTACAAAAATATACGTTAACCAGCCACAGAATGACTTCTTCCCTTTCAATCACTGATGAGATAAATTAGAATGTCACGCCTTATGACTTGTATTATGTATGTGAAATGTGCGTTGTAATAGAAGAAAACAGATTGTGACTCCTTTGTGAGCTGTATTTTTTTCTATAAAATTTAATATTTAACATGAAATTCTGTCTCAGCTGATCATATTAACCTCTGGACTCTAAACAGAATGTTAAATTTCATTTACTTCAAAATGCTTGTCTCAGCAAAGAAATGGCAAAATGAGTAGCTAAAACAAGATTTTTCCTATTAGCCAGTAAATTCCTTCAGTTGTTTTACTAATATTTTAGGATGAGAGATGATTAAATGAAATTTGGCATGGACAAAGCCTTCTATTTTAAGACTATTCCCACCCACACAAAGAAAAAAAATAGTAATTGAAGGTATTCTTAGTAGTTCAGACCAAAAATGTTCTCCCTATTTTTCTGAGGTAAAAGTATGACACAGGCAATTTAGGAAGCAATCCTTTATTAAATATTTTAAAAGCAAATTTTACACTGTGTTTCACTAAGGTGTGGTATGTGAGATGATGTCCACCACTGTTGGCTTCTGGGCTAGAGGAACATAGACAGAGATCACGCGTCCAGCCAGTGATGTATCACAAAGATAAGAATGGAGACCTCAAAAGTTCAGTGCTAACCCCTTCTGGGTCAAATATAAAGTGATGCATTCTGATAAATTTATTTTACTTATTGAATAAGTCTTATTTTACTTAATAAGTCATATTTTTCTATATACTGGGAATTTTAGAGGAGCATCTAAAGGAATGGGAATTGTCTTAGTTATCTCATTTTCTAATTAAAAAATATTTTCAATCCCATGTGAAAATATTTGCTAATATATAACAGACAATCTAACTTGGAACATTCTATTAAAATAGTCTCTTTCTCATAACTTCAGTCTGTCAATTTGTTTAAAAATAAAGTACATGTGAATTTACACATTCCCCACGGGTATTATCTATATTCATTTTTGAGGGTTTCTAATATTTAGTTGATAACTTCCAGATTTTATATTTAACTTAATAAATGATATTTCAAGGTAAAGTTAGTCTATAAACGGATACTAAATCAGTCTGTGTATATCAATCTCAGGGTCTAACTAGAGAGATATTATTTTCACACAAAGGCCAACAAGAAGCTTTGGTATTCTAATTATTATGAAAATGATATTTTTTTACCCATAAGATAGTGTAAATGTACGTGGGCATATTTCATTTCTAAAAAGAAACTTATTCAAATCTTTGTTTCAGAGGTAAAATGTGATAATACTGTAAGTCAACCATACTTCAGGAAAAACAATAAATACATTTTTTTTAAGTTAAAATGTGTTCCTGTGCTCTCTTCACATTTCTTACCACTATGGAACAGAATCACGAGTTTGTGGATGAACAAGTCTTTGAAGAAAGCTGCATGGAAGTTGCAACAGTTAATCGTCCTTCAAGTCACAGTCCCTCTGTCTCTTCACAACAAGGCATCACCAGCACTTGCTGTTCAAGACGACACAAAAAAACTTTCCGCATTCCAAATGCCAACATATCAGGAAGCCACCGAGGCAGTGTGCAAGAACTCAGCACGATTCAGATTAGATGTGTGGAGAGAACCCCTCTATCTAACAGGTACCTGAGATTAATCTGTGTGCGTTGACACACCTGTGCTGCTTCTCAGAGCACATCTCCACCTACTGTCATGTTGCCACCTCTGTGGCAATTAAATCCTAGTTCCTCGGGTCTAGAATGAGACAAAACTGGTCTGAAACAAGTAGGAAAATTAATCTACTGTAATATTCACTAAGAGTCAAAGGTGTAGCTGAATCGGTACTAAAAGAATAGAAAGAAGATAAGAAGGTCAAGCACCCACGAATGTATTCTTACCTCTTCAACCTCACAACTTTTTCTTGAGCAGAGACCTCTACACTCAGGAGTCCCCTAAGTCAACACATATGGCCTGAAATGATAGTCAACACAAGCGAAAGAGACAAATTAAATTGATATTGATATGATTGAAAGGTATTCAACAGCACCCAAAAATATTCAACATAGTTAATGTCACAGTGAAAAATAAAACTGTGCCCAAAGGAATCTTTTGAATCAGTATACAATTTTGATCATAAAGTTATTTGGGGCCTCAACAAACACAAAACTCAATCCAATATCAAAAAAAGATAAGCAAAATGCTGAAAGTGTTTCCCTCTGGTGAGTTTGTGGACAATTTAAGTGAAATTTTTCTATTGGTATTTTCCCTTTGCTTCTGTTTACGTGCTACTTGTTTGGACCAAAATCATACATGTGTAATAATAAGTATCAATAGTACATTTCAATTAGATAAATCATTATAAAGATCAATTTCTGTCCAAGGAATTTTCCTTTGTTCTTCAAATTAAAAAGCTTGGCATCCAACAGTCTTTGTGGAAAACAATCAGATGTCTCTGGGATTAAATGGAATATTATTATTCCATTATTATTTCATTGCTCCAATATTAAATGTTGGAGCAATGAAAGATTTCTGTCTCTAAGATAGTCTGCCTGTGTCTTGTTTTACATTTATTCCAAAACAAAATAGAAAATGTAGAAGTGTTTATAAAGAAAATCTTAGGACAAGCATTTTAATTAAGTTTTCTATGGGAAAAAAAGTAGTTTAAAGCTCCTATGTCTACCCTCCTTACTCCTACCCTCTTTCCCCCTCCCTACACAGAGTATATAACTCATGCAAGAATACCACTTGGGAAAATGTTTAAGTATTAGTAATGACTAACTTGAGTTCTTAATATTTGGCTGTCACTAAGTTGAGAGCCTTTAAGGGCCTCATATATCCCAAAGAGACAAGGTAGTAAAGAGATTCTGTGGGCAAAAGAATTGGGGTTTATCCACAGGGTATGCCCCTTTCATGATGGTATCTCAAACCTCTCAGAGGTCCTGTCTTAAAGAAAACTATTTTACTTTGCTCAGCTTAGGCTTTCCAAAACTCACCTGCTCTGCATTTTTGTAGAAAACACTTTGAGAAACACTGATTGAACCAAATTCAGCTGGCTTTTAGACATTTATTCGATGTTAATGCCCTAATGTTCACGTTAATTTATCTTAACGTTTGGTGTTTCATTTTTTTAAATCTTGGTGATTGTTCTTAGCCATTTAAAATGTTACTTATAAACATGAAAACATGTATTCCTCCGTTATTGGAAAGAAAATTTTAAGTAAACAACTCACTTTCTTAAATCTATGTTTTCCTCCTCAGCCGATCCAGTTTAAATGCCAAAATGGAAGAGTGTGTTAAACTAAACTGTGAACAACCTTATGTGACTACAGCAATAATAAGCATCCCAACACCTCCAGTAACCACCCCCGAAGGAGATGACAGGCCGGAGTCTCCTGAGTACTCAGGAGGCAACATTGTCAGAGTGTCTGCTCTGTAAGACAATTGGAATCAGGTCCAAGAGAATTTGAGCCCTGGCTGTGGAAAGAATCCCAATGTGGAAGAAAGAAGAAACAATAAATGTTTCGCAGATGAAAACGACAAAGCAAGGAGGTTGGTAGTGAAACAAAGACAAAGTTTCCAAACTTAAAGATGGAAATAAAACCACCAAATGGCATTTCTAGATGGAGTCTAACCTGTCAAACTGAGAAATAGTCTGTGGCCCTTTGACTTTGTGAATGAGCACAATGAAATGCCGCCTATTGATGCTTCTTATGACCAGAACTCTTTTTTAATAAAATATATAAAATAAATCTTTGAACATAATGTTCCAGTTGAATGCAAAACAAAAAAATACGGAAAACATTTTGATAAAAATTTTTCCTGTTAAAACCATGAACATTGGCTATGATGAAGATTATTATTACACATTAAAAAAAAAACCTCATATAACACGTTTGTATTGACTGAAGGAAACCATCATAATGCATGCTAGAATTCTTTGGAGTCGTGATCTCAGTTTCCTTACGTTGTCTTCAGAATCGGCATGATAAACTATAATTGTAGAAAGAGGGAATTTCTGTGTACTTACAACAAGCTGATTGTTCATGTTCCATGGTGGGCTGTGCAAATAAACTCCTTTTAGAACTGCAGTATTTCTCATGGGGATGCTCACTAGTAAATCTAAAGTGTTCAGATAGTTCAGTATTAATTATTGTTTTACCTTGCACCTAGATACTGTTACAACTGCAATAATTCATTGTACACCTGTTGTATCAGGAATCAGGATTTTCTGTTGTTGTATTTCCAGATCTTCTTAGATACAATAAGAGCCACATTCCATAGAAAAACTTCTCATGTCGCCAGGTTTTAGATAACTTTTTAATCCAAAACCCTTGTGCCGTAAATGTTTTTCTGTAATATTCTTTGGTCCACTGTATTCCTGTGACAGTGCATTATTTGTTCCTGTATTTCTATAGCACCTTTCTATTGGATTTATCATCATCAGCTGGACTAATGTTTTGTAGTTCAAAGGACTTTCCTACTTTTGTATTCTCCAACAAGTTATCTTATAAGTAGATTATCATCATCGTCAATCCCCTTGTCAAAAATCAGGAAAAAAAAGGAGTTGACATCTATGAATTATCTCTAACCTTTTTGCTGTTATGGAAAAGCCCAGATACTGGATATATCATTGTATGTTTCATGAAAAGAATTGGCTGGGATTAGCATCACAGGATCAGTGATCCCAGAATCTCACTTGATGTATTATTTATTTTGCTTTAGATCTCGAATACATTTTGAGAATAACTAGCGTGAATTGAAATGCAGAGATAAACTGGAGTGCTTTATGCAGCAATATTTGTTGAAAGCATGCTTTCTACGCCACTGGGGAAGGCAGCACAGATTTGTCTCAGAAAGGTTCCTGCATATTGCAAGGAGCAATTTTCTCCTCTAAATCAGGAGGACAGGAGTTTGATGATGCAAAATTGAGCTCTATGTACATTTAACTGAAAAGTCTTGATATCTTTTCACCTTTAAAATATATCAGCAGACATGTCTGCACGTGGCAGTGTAAAAAAGTTTTATGTCCAGTGAAAAGTTTTGTTCATTCCAAACCACCACTGTAAGGAATAAGTTTAGCTTCAATACGTGGAAAGAGTTAATAATTATCCCTCTACTATAGAGATTTTAAAATGCTTATCATAATTTATCATAAAAAGGAAATAATCCAACCATTTTCAAGTAAAGCCAGAAATTCTTGCTTCCCCTTTCTAGACTAGCTTCCAGTGCAATGCTGTGCACACAGTAGATTTATAAACACTTTGCTGAGTGAAAGTCAGATAAACTCTACTGTCTCACGGGAAGAACTGGCTTTATTCCTAGTAAGTCTTTTTAAAAGTTACTAATCTTCCTGAAGCGTGAATATTAATAATTATATTAACACCTGCCTCATGTCACTTTATGCTTCTAGAGCAAATATATAGTGAAACTTCTTTGATGGCATTTGCTGAAAAACTTTTTAAAAAGTAGGCTAAAGAAAACTCGATCAGGAATACTTAGGTCTTCTGATTCCCAACGAAAAGTTCTATTTTCATGTTCTTAATATTACATTTAAAAATGCAGTTAGATTATTTCGTTGCAATTCTGCCTCCTTTTCAACTTATATCATTTATCCAAAACTATTAATTTCTTTAGACTTTCAGAAAAGAGAAAAATTTTTTGGTGTTTTAGGTGATTTAAAAATATACTGTGTTGGTGGTGAATGACTATTGATGACTGTGTTAAGTGCATCTGTATTGTAAGTGAAATGTAATTATTTCTGTGTGCCATATGGAGTAACCAAGGTCATTGTTTTTGACAATTTTGTTTGAAATTCGTATATCTTATTTCAAAGGATAGCATAATATCTGCATTATGCTGGAAAAAAATAGACCTTTGGAAAATACTTAAATAAAACATGTGCATGCTTGAACAGGACATGGTTGACTGTTGCCCTGTTTTTTGTAGACTTCCTTCCTTTCCAAAATCTAGGGTGTACTACACTCTTCATACATATTTTGGAGAAGCCTGTAACATGGACAAACTCAAAGAACCCATCAATCGTGTGTGACACAAATCTACTCTAAATGGTGGAGATATTAATTTTCTGCCAACAATGGGAATTTAGGCAGAGACTTCAATAGAGAAGTTAATATCATTTAAAGATAAAAGAGTGCCACTGCTTTAAATAGTCATTTTTGGAAATATCTTGGCAACTGCACCTCCATAGCTACTAACTATGATAATGTAAAGTGTATTGCAAGGTTTACTGGTTATTAAAAAAAGATAGGTTAAAATCAGTTGTTTCTTATATACGATATTTTCAAGTAGAATGCTTTCTACAATGTGTGACCCACAGTTATTAGCCTGTTCCCTAAACGCCACTTATCTCTTGCACAGTGTCGACCAGAGAGAAGTAAGGCTGATACCTGAAACTTATGCACTTCTTGATCACCACTGCTTAAGTTAAGCAAAGAGAAGCTCTGAGGTAATAACTTTGGTCAGAACCCAATTAGATTCTTAGTCAAAGACTCTTTTCTATCTACGGAAACAGGCGATTTATTTTTCTAGCTGTGTGTGTGTGTGTGTGTGTGTGTGTGTATTTATTTATATTTATACACAAACACACAGATTTTTTATTCTTTTTTTTTAAATATACACATACTGATGGTTTCTCTTCAACAGGGGACCAAAAGCAACAAAATGTTAAGAGATTATTAGAAGAAGGAGAAAGAGTAAGTCATTTAGTTAGTACAGAGGGTGTTTTTTTTTTTTTTCTTTTTCAGTACGCGGGCCTCTCACTGTTGTGGCCTCTCCCATTGCAGAGCAACAGGCTCCGGACGCACAGGCTCAGCGGCCATGGCTCACGGGGCCCAGCCGCTCCGCGGCATGTGGGATCTTCCCGGACCGGGGCACGAACCCGTGTAGCCTGCATCGGCAGGCGGACTCTCAACCACTGCACCACCAGGGAAGCCCCAGAGGGTGCTTTTAACTAGTGATAACTAGTGAGTCTCTTGAGTGGATAGTCTCCATTTTTTTCTTATTATTTTCCTTTATAGTCCTTGATTTATTGAGATGCCAATCTTGCATTAAAAAGGTTCAACACACCTCCCTATTCCTTCAACTTGTTATAGAGTTGACCGGAAAATAGCCTCCAGCGAGTTATATCAATGACTGCTGACAACATTGCTCAAAAGAATAAAAAGGGTTCTTGATAGATGACTCCTCTGAGTTTTATAAGAAAGCCAACTCCTCTTCCCTAGTGTGTTATTAAAGTGTTTGATTAACTCACAGGTACAAGAATGGTTATTGGTCGGCACTGTGTAAACTTCATCAGAACTGTCAACACAATCATGTAGGCGACTGTAATTTTTTGAATTATTAAATTATCCACCTGAGCTGGCTGTGTTTAGGGTGGTAAAACAGTCTCCAAAAAGTAAGATTTTGTACTTATACGGAATTGTGACTTTTGAACACCACATTTGCTTAAGACAATTATAATATATATATATTGCAAAAAGCTTTTAGAGGAAATAATATTAGATCCATAATGTATCTTCTAATCCTGTGTTCTTTACTGCCCACCTTATCTTTTCCCTTCTTTCTCTTCAAGCACTAATCATTCTTTTACTAGATTATTCTCCCTCTTCCCCTAATCATTTTCCTTTCTGGTTTTCCTATGGAAATCCAATAAGTAACGAATGTTCATTCTATTTATAACTCTAGTTATTGAGTGCATAGGATGGACTAGAGATCGTGATAGGTGCTGGAGAAATAGCACTCAGGAGTCCAGACCAAATCCTCCTCAAGGGCTTATGTAGGGGAAAACAGCTTGGAGTACTCTCTGCTTCACTTTGCTATCCAGAATCCTACACGACAGGTATCCTCCCTTCTGTCATATTGACAGTCATTTTCTTACTTAATCTCCTGAAGATATCTCTTCAACAGAGTTTACATCAGATGGTGTTCTTTGAAGTACTTTCTAAAATCTCCCCATCATGTCATTAAAATCCTCGTTCTGTAGGGTATGGTCCTCTTTCTATGGGGGGAGGGGGAGCGGAAAAAGAGCGCATGAGTATTTCTAAAGAATGGAAAACAAGACAAGACAAAGCAAACAGAAAAGGAGGTAGAACTTCACGTTAATGATTTGAGCATTGTAAAAACACAGCCTTTTCCAAGTATCCACTCTGCTCTTCCTACCATAGTTTCAAAAGATGTGAAGAAGGCTATTAAAACAGTTTTACAGGAAGAGTATCACACAGTGCTGCTGTGAATCCTAACACCACACCTCAAATTAGTTCATTTGACTATTCCCACTGAGATGTGTGCGAGAATGGCACAACAGAGCAGTAAGTCTAGAAAGAAAGGGAAGTTTATAATTAGTGGCACTCACCAAAAAGGTGGGCCAAGGTGGTCTATGTTAGTTCCAACACATGGGGCTGGCTGAAGAAGGGTATTAAACGGTGGGACCAAAGATGTAGACAGAGATTGGGAGGAACCGTAGAAGACAAGGGTTGGGGGCATTGACAAGGGCTACAAGGTGATAGAGCAGCATCCTTGGGTTTGGATTCTAACTGACAATCCAACATTTTTTTTGGTTTGATCAAGTTAATTCCTTTGTTAGAGCTACACATTACAGCACCAAAAGGTATTTATCTTAATCTATTATCAGTTTCTAATATTTAAGCATTTATAAATTGCTCAGAGATCTCCCAAGCTCCCTGTGCAACAGAGAATGAAACCCTAAAACAGCAGAGTAAGGAACTGATACTGAGAAATGGGAGAGCTAAAAGAGCCAAAGCACGGACCTTGACCTTGGGTTGATGAATCTGTTAGATTTCCTTATCAGAGGCACAGGATATAAAAATTTCAAAAGTAAAAATGTCACACACAATATTACATAGGGCTTAATCTGGACTTAACGTGCTTTATTTTTATTCTCAGCCAACCTCGTAAGAAATCAATGTACAAACCATAGAGGAAAAATTCCAATTCATTCTTTTCAATATACAGGTTCTTTCTTCTGTAGATTCAAAATGGGCACTAAGTAACAATGATTATAACAACCATGAAAAGATAACAATAATAATGACTGATAATTTTTATTTAGTCCTAAATATATGCCAGTCACTGTGCTAATCACTTTCCATGCATCAATCCATTAATTACATGTATTAATCTAAGCTCTGTATTGGCCACATTCTGGTTGAGAAAACTTTAACACTGAAAACTGATGGGTCTGGGTTTTCCTAATTCAAATAATATAAAATTTTAAACTAAATCACAGAGTTCTATTTTGTAGAAATATTGATGCTATTTCTTTTCCTAGAGTAAAAGAGATTTTTTTTTAGAATGGGAGGTAGGAGGAAGTCTAATTATATCCCTGCTCTAACGGTTACAATGTCGTTATGAAAGACGATTAATTTTTCTTACCATTTTCTTTGATCTAAGTTTTTTTCTTATCTTGAAAAATGTGCTATTAGTAAATATTCCTGATCGACTCTTGGTGAATTAAAATAAAAATGGAACCTCGCTGGGAAATATAGTGCTGTCCTAGTTGACAAAGATTTTCTAACAACTCCGTATCAGCACAGCAAACATATTGAGTTAATTTTTCAGGAACAGAGAGAATTATGTGTTAGAGCATACATCATCTGTTGCTCACTCCCCTTCTTGAGCAAGGCTTGCCAAAATTCTCAAGGTTGTTGATCAGGGCTGTAGTTACATGTGCAGCATCTAATTGGCCCATAGTCCATACCCTAGAGGCTTATAATAACAGAAAATTTTAGAATTAAAGTCAAAACCACAATTCCCACCCTTCATTATCTTTTGTACCTTCCTCAAATTCCTGCAGGCAAAAATTCTGGAGGACGATAATGAAATGCCTATTGGCATTTAATACCACATACAAAATAAGGCACAGAAATATTCAGATAGGCGAAGTGATGGCATAAATCAGTATTCCAAGTTAATATGATACAATTAAAAATATTTTTGGATTTTTCCATCCTCACAAAGAATTCCAAACTTTTTCTGTAGGTAGTTGATAGCTTTCATTTTCTCCTAATAAAATAGAAAGCTTTAAGAAAGGTGTAAACACGGACATTTGGTTTATATTGAACTGTAGAAAATTTAATGTACCTTTTAAAATGGTACTTGGGATATTAAAATGGTACTTGGGATAAAACTGTTTGTCATAAAACTTCTTTGGGTTTCATCATTTGCATGTTTTATGTTCCAAAATAACACTGGCCTAATAATAATTTCTTTTTACCTTCCACTTCAATCTTTCCTTTCCTATTTCTCAAAAGGTAAATATATTACTCATTGGGAGTATCAATGTTGTGTCCAAAACTTCCTTTACATGAAAAATTAAGGTGCAATTATTATTAAAAAGAAAAGTATAGAAATATTAATAATACACATGGCCTATCATTTTCAAATCCTACTGAACATGATGATAAATTATAAACATTTGCTTTCATGAAACAGTAAAATTTCTCCAAATTGTCTTACAGAAGGATAAAAATTCTCATTTTTGTTTTTTCCAAAGTAGGAATATATAGCAGGTAAACTCAAATATAAAAATCAAGCTATATTTTGAAAAGGAGACATATATATAGTATCAGACAGCTCCACTAATATCTAAAACAAAATGCATTTATTTATCCAGGTGTGCGTGAGCCCACTAATAAGAGACTAAGAAAGAAATGGGGCCATGAGTGACTGAAGGAACCTGAAACTGTATATGGTTTGGAAGATACACAGTTTGAAAAACCAGAAGAATTCAACGTCATGTCAGTTTCTTTCACTATCTTACCTAGAATTCAGGTCATTGGCAAAGAGTCTGAGAATTTAGTTCAATTACACTGCAGTTATTTACTATTAGATATAGACTATCAATTATGTAGGATTATTTGAAATTAATTCAAGACATTT